ATTTCGTTGGAACGAAATAATATTTCGTTCGAACGAAATAATATTTCGTTCGAACGAAATATTATTTCGTTCCCTCGAAATAATATTTCGTTCCCTCGAAATATTATTTCATTCTCCTCGAAATAGTTTAATATTTTTTCTAACCATGTCCCTTTAAGGGCTCCGTAAAAAAGAAATAAAATACAATGAAAAATTCAGTAAAGTTGGTCTAAACATGTTTTTAATATTTGATATGGTGTAAGGGTATAACGTCATACCAAACAATTTGATGCCTGATGTTTACTGGCGCTATTCGTTATCAAAGTCAATCAGCTCACAGTAACTGTAGTATGTATACCGCTACCCATCTTTTTCATATTTTGTTTTCCCACTCTGGGCATGTATCTACTCTAATTTGCTGAAAATGGAAGAGCACTCATACGTCACGATGCAAAGCCTGGCTGCGAACAGGAGGTAACAAGGACAATCTTCGCACTGGTGTTGTAGCAGTGAAGAGAATTAGGTCAGCGTCGTAGCGATTTGAAGCATTAACAAAATTGTATATTTTCTGCTTATTTTCACGGTTTTTGTTCCAAACACAAGTTCACCTCATTAATAACGATCGTTCGTTAGTTTAAAACAAAGGAAATACTTATGCACTGTACTATAAGGGCCATAAAATGAGAGTGGAACTTAATTTATCGACAAACCCACAATTTTCTCGATGATACCTGAATTTGTGACACAATATAGGGCATAACCCGGTGCTGAAGTCGGCAATTTGTTATTCAGCATACTGGGATTGAGATTTTCGAATCGGCAATGGCATTCACCAATGGTTTCGGCAAAGTGGTATTTCTTAAACTGGCATGAATCCCTATTGATCTGTGAACGATTTATCGTACATTATCATTAAAACTAACCTGATTCAGAGTTCGCAATCGAGCACAGAGCAAGAAATTGTATCACACCGTAAAATCGAAACATTTTAGGCATAAGGGGCAAAATAAAAAATGATTGCCTTTAGGCTGTAAGCTATCAGTACTAGCAGCGTGTTCGTCTATGTACAGACATTTATTTTGAGGCATATTAATTACATACAAAAGAAAATATAAAAACACGTATCAAACTCATTATTCATTTTATCGAGTATTTTATTGAGATTTTTTTCTGCTATCAACTCAGCTGTTACATTTAAAACTAAATGGTGAAACAATTTTATTCTTAATTATAACTTTCGGCATCCCATTATCTCCACTACCATGCACCACTGGTGTTCCGAAAATTGATTGTGTCGAACTGTTTTATGTCAATTTTAATATTCTTTTATTCGCCATATATTAATGAACACTGGGTTTCTATAAGGACCCGTACAGAAAAGCCAATATTTACAACTTGGGTTAAAAAAAATCATAAAATATGTAAATTAATACATATTCAATTTAAATTAGGTATATAGCAAGGTGAATTCGGACTCGAAAGTCAGGATGTTGGAGATCCTAGTAGTGACCTAAAGGGCATGATTAAGGCATCAGGCATGATTAAGGCATTACCCACTGTGGGTAATAAGCGACGTCGTTTGGTGATTATAGAGTTCAGCCCCAGGATATTTGACAATGTTGGATTTGAGGTACGGTACTTAATTTTATTTAATTTTGAAAACTATGCCTAATTATTATTTTTGTTAACTTTATTTGTTTATCTTCTGTATCTAGAAATAGAAGACTAATATGTTTTTAAATAAAATAATATTAACTTAGACTGAATTCACGCATAAATTAAAATATAGGCATAGGCCTATTAGTATTCGGTTAGACCAACTATCCTTGCAATTCTTTCTGTCGCAAAAATATGAAGCATGGGAACTTATTCCGTTTTTTGAAACGTCTGTAGATAATTACAAAATCAAACGGAATAGAGTAGAGGGAGAAAGGAGTATAGACAGTCTGGATCTTAAGTCTATCATGGGTTTCTAGTTTTCAGTTGATCGCATACAAATTTTGTGTCTACTGGTCTAAGAATTAAATATGTGGACCCGCCCACTCTTGACCACCACCCTCAATACCACAATAAAGTAACACATAATCTGATAGTGTGATTCGGTCGTGAATTATTACGACAAAAGGCAAAGTGACCATCACAATTTCCATAGTAAAAATTCTTAAAAAGTGGCCAACAATGAGTTGCACGGAGCGAGGTAATTTCAATCCGCAACAAGAAATATCCACTCGAGAAAATGCAATAGATTGAAATTACCACGCGGACCGAGCGGCACCCATTGGGGTGTACCTACGCCCATGATTGACAGAAGGAGTCTTTCCGCTGATCTCAGAAAAAAATATTTTCACCGTGGAATCTTTACTATCAGTATAGATTCCCACCCGAACCAGAACTACCACAGATTTGCTGTATTCTACGAAGTCAAAATTTATTGGGCCAGTGATACTTCATAAAGCAGCGTCTCCGGTCAAGGTATAATATACCGTAATATTGCCAAAAAAAAAAAAAAAAAAAAAAAAAACCCCGTT